TTACAACATCCCACTCAGATACAGGTAATAGATTTATACCATCTCCATAATGATGGCCTCCCCTTTGTGAAAGATTTTTGCGTGTAGTGTATGCGTGTGTGTTTTGGGAGGCTGCAATATGTTTGTGTTTGTCACTTGTGATAGCGCAGTACTGATGCCGACTTGATAGTGCTTCCTCACTGAAATATACTGCCGAAGACACCCAGCAGGACCCACCCACCCAACTGGTCACATTATGCTGAAAATGGGCGAACCAGTCGGCCCACTCCTAAATTGCTGAGTGTTAAGCAGGAGTAGAAACTACCATTTTTATAGGCTCTGGTATGTCTCAGCCAGGGGACAGAACCCAAAGCCTTTCTCACAGGGGCAAACGCTCAACTAAAGGCCAAAAGTGAGGCATTGTCAAAGGAAACATTAGGAAGAAGAAAGTTGTTTAGAAAAAAGAGAAAAGATAAGACCCCAACTTTAGTCGCCTCTTACGATCATGCAATTGGGGCAGCAGGTACAATTCTTACGTCCTACCTGCAGACGTGTATATATATAGGTCACACCACACAGGTATATATAGGTCACATTACACAGGGATATATAGGTCACATTACACAGGTATATATAGGTCACATTACACATGTATATATAGGTCACATTACACAGGTATATATAGGTCACATTACACAGGTATATGTAGATCACATCACACATGTATATGTAGGTCCCACCACACAGGTATATGTAGGTCGAACCACACAGGTATATGTAGGTCGTATTACACAGTTATATATAGGTCACATAACACAGGCATATGTAGATCACACCACACAGGTTTATAAAGGTCACAACACACAGGTATATGTAGGCCCCAACACACATGTATATCTAGGTCACGACACACAGGTATATGTAGGTCACATTACACGATGATTGCTTACAGATGATGGTGATTCTGCATCTTGTGACATCCTTGACTTGTAGTCCGTCACTGCTGTCATTCTAGTCGCGAAGCCTCATTTGACGTCATCAGGTGATGGCCAGCCCTCTTCAGATGTTTCGACCCTTAATCACTACATCCTCCGGCTGGTGGGTCAGTAGTGGTGGCCAAACCACTACTCGTCTATGTCGGCTTCCACATCGGCTCATCTCGTTTGTGCCATAGCCAGCACGATGCTCTCTCTGCAGCTTCTCCCAATCGTCTGATGGCGGTAGCTCTTGCCCTCCCAGTGAGTCCTATTGACCGTAGTGTCCTCCACACTGACTGTGCGGGGAAACCTCTACAGCCAACCTCCACTGGAAAGAGCCATACTGTCCATCCTCTGCTCCTGCACTTTTCCATCAGCTCATCATACTTGGCTTTCTTCCTCTCGTGAGCTTCCTCGCAGCCTTCCTCCCATGGTACGGTGAGCTCTATGG